AAGATTAGGACAAACCTTTTAGTAGGGCCCTGTTATGAAATGACAAGTGGCAATAGTTTTAAACTAAAAGAGGACAGACCAAGATAAGAAATAAATACTTTACAATGAAGATGGTGAAACACTGGCACAGATTGTCCAGATAAGTGGCAGTTGCCCCACCCCTGGAAAAATTCAAGATCAAATTGGAGAGATCTGTGAAAAACCTGGTCTTGTTGAAGATGTCCCCACCAAATGCAGGGAGGTGGATCAATGACCTCTAAAAATTTGTTCAAACCCAAAGCATTCTATGATTCTACCAAAACGGGCCACGTGGCAAAGGACATTAATAACCCGGTATTTCGTAAACCTGTTATTTGTATTTCCCTTTTTCTCTAGAGGCAATGGGGCTGAGGCAGTTTGCACTAGGACAGGAACAAGCAGACTGACCAGCCTGCTGGAATGCCAAGCCTACTTCTTCAGAAAATTAAAAGATGATCATTTGAGATACAAACCAGACATAACTGAATGTGAAAAAAGTGATTCAATTGCATTCTGGGCTACATTACAAAAAGTGTAAGCTGCAGAGCAAAGACACCTCTTGCACTCAGTGCTGGTGATATTGCAGATGGAATGCTGGGTCCAGTTCTGGAGACCTGAGTTCTGTATGGTTCTGTGGTCTGTAAGATGAGGCTGAGGGAAAGTCAGTCAGGACATAGTGTGGAAAGGTAGAGGATAAGGGGGATCTCACACAGACCATCACACCTTCAGAGTGTTAGAAAAATAACACTGCTCCCAACACCTCTCAGCAGTGGCAGAACAGGGTGCAACAGCTACAAATTAAGAGAAAAACTCTTGATTATGTGCTACTGTTGCAGCAGCACAGGATACCCAGAGGGTCTGTATAACCTTCACCCCAGCAGTTTTCAAGGCCCAGACCAAAACACCTATGACATGATCTATCAGTGGCAAAAGTCTCACTGTCAGGCTGCATTGGACAACTTCCAGACATGGAGCAAGAAAGAGGGCAGACTCTATGACCTCTACAGATCCTTTCCAACCAATATTCCTGTCACTGATATTTATAGGAAAACCATGTGGGGCTTGCAGTGTATTCTCTCTGCAGAATTGACCAGCCAAGCATAGCTGCATCAACTAATGTTAGATAATTACAAAAATTAGGCTATCTACCCCATTTATCACATACTAGATAAAATCAGAGCATAAATTATGAAGGTGAACTACTGAACTTGCAGATTTAGACCTGGCCTTCATTATGGGAATGATTCTTTAAATATCTCGTTACCCAATTGCCCGTTACATGGTGTCAAAGTGCATTATTCTCTTTTGAACTTGTCCTACTATGAGTCACACCCCTCTAATTTCATTGAAACTCCACTATGAGGGGAAGGAGACAATCAATTCTTGGTGGTTTAAATCTCAAAACTAGTTCTGGTACTCTATTCTTGAGCAGGGAAATGCACCATAACATCTGAATGATGATGAGCAGCATGGATTAGGATGTGTATCAAATTTTAAAGCCAACTTTTCAGCCTGTTTCTAAGAAGAATCTACACTGATTTATATAAATGGAACAATGAACACTCTTTTAAGGCAGCTAACCACACTAGTTAGTAAAATAAAGTTACAGTGCTGCAAAACCTTGGCCTGGCAAAATCCCCATCATAGAAAAAGTGATCCCGTACTAAGCTATTCCAGAACTCACACAGGTAGCAGCAAAACATGTTTTCTTTATATTTATAGGGTATCTGAAATCAATTGTGAATTGATTTCTGGATTTCCAGTAAAGAGAAGAAAGATTTTAAGGCTCTTTCTTCTAAAGCAGCATGACAAAAGGAATAAAGGAAAAGAGATTTTTTTTTTTTTGCATTCTATGAACTTTACAAGCCAGTCTGATTGAAACATAAAAAATGCCAACCTATCCACTAGCATTACAGTGAGTATTCAGCACAACAACAGGAGAGGGAAGGAGGAGAAGATAAAAAGGTAAGAAATAGGACTATTTATTATTTTTTTACTGAGACAAACTTGGCATTTAGCCTCTTAAAAAAACCCCAAACCTTCAGTCATGACTCAGCACCACCTTCTCAAAATAATTTGTTTGCTTACTACCATCCTTCCTGTTGTCCCCTATTTGAGGCTGGAGGAGGAAAGCACATAAGCTAAAATAAGGTGAGGAGTGCTGCCTACTTGTTTTTCCTTTCCAAACCATAAGTGCATTGGGTTCAGTGCATTCCTCAGAGCCTTTTACCCCTGCATCAATTGTGAGAATTTAGAATTTATCAAAGAAACTTCCATGCTCTCTCTTAAATCCAGAAGCTGGATTAACAAACCAAAAAACTTTGGTTTTTGTTGTGCTGCTTACAAAATGTGGATAACTCTCAGAAAAAAACCTTACATCTCATATTAAAATTGGTCTCACTGAATGTCTGAAGCTACTTTTAGAGAAATGAGAAGCTCCCCAGCAGAAGTTGTAGGCTCCAGACGCTTTAACCCGTGACTTGGCTCCTGCAGGACTTTCATGCTGTGGTAACTGCAGGGGTGACCTTTACTCACTCTCAGGTATAAAGGAACTAGAGGACAAATTAAGCAACAACTAGCTGAACTATTTTGTTCCAAAGCCTTCCCCACTCCACATTCAACTGATGTATAGTTAAAAAGCTTTAGGAAAAGAAAAGAGTAGCAAAAGTAATGATAAAAAAGGATGAGAAATAAGCCCCCAGCAACTGACCATTGCATCCCCAGGTACCCTTCTTCATCGAATCCAGCAAATGTAGGATCTCTCCCCCTCCTAAACTACCACAGATAAAAGCAAAGCCTCCAACATCAAGTGAGGAAGTTGAGGTCTTAACGCCCGCCCCACAGACTTTGGTTTAAGAACTCAGTGCTTCAGTTATTTCTGTGATTACAGCTGGTATCAGCAGACCTAAAACATTAGTGCCATACCTGCAAACAGCACTGCACTGCAAAACTGATTCAGGACATTACAAAGGTAAGTAAAAGATAACTCACAACCTATCAAATGTTGTGACAGGAACATCCTGATTACACAAATGACAGACTTTGCATTTGCTAATTGCAGTTACGAGAGATCTCTATAAAGATTATTGCTGATAAGCACGTCTATAAAATACCACCAACTTAACATTATTCCTGAATATTGAACATTATTCCAGCCAACTAAGCTATCCCACCTTGCTTTACAATAACTACTTAATCATTAAAATAAATTTTTATCTCTTCCGAAGTCTAGAGTCTGCCTAAGGAACTTTCCCTTTGCTCTCCCTTCTTTAAAGCAGCGATGTGGTGACAATAAACATGTTTGCAAATGTAGCAGAAATTCTCTGCTGCAAGGCAGCCGTGCACTTGAAGAACACCACCAGTGCTGCGGTTCAGAGACCAAAGCAATTCCAAAGGCATTCCTTCCTTAAGGAACGACCTTGACACAGGTGCCCTGTAAAACTTTTTCCATTTCATTGAGCTAATGGTGGCTGCACTGACAGATGATTTTATTTCAGAAACTTAAAGCCTCTGCCCAACACCACATGCATAACCTGAACAGCAAAGCAAGCTAAAAACAGTGACATTCTGAAAAGTCTGGACATCAAAGTTCTTTGTGAGACCAGCCCATCCACGTCTCAATGCTTTGAGAGTTCAAATACAAACTAGAGCTTGCTGTCATGCTGTCACTCCTGCAAATCCCCATTTTAAATAGAAAACGTGGAAAAGAAGCACAAAGTTTACAGATTTTGGTATTTTTTAGGGTACAGCTGAAACAAGCCACATTTCAGAGCATGCAAGCATCCTTTCTATAGCAAAATAGCTGAAAGTGAAGGTTTGTTACAAGGGTATTGAGTCTAGAAAAACACAGAGATGTTTTCACGCCTAGAAAGGAAAGCAAGGTCTCTGTGCAGATTTATAGATCTATGTACACATGCTGCAGAAAAGCAAAGCACTGCAGTTCACCTCTGTAACCTCAGGGCAGAACTGGAAGGACTCCTTGACAATCTAGAGAGTCTGAACAAACAGCTGGATTTCCGTCAGCAAGCAGGGATGAACCAACAAAGACATTTCACAAGCACTTTCCCTTGAGCTAACACAGAACCGCACCATGAAGGAGCGCTGACAGCCCGCATCTCCCGAAGGCAATGTCGGCAGCCGGGAAAAGGCGCGATCTCCCTTCGGAGCGGCAGCCCCAGGACAGGGAGGCTCGCTGCGTTCCGACGGGGGCACACCCCGCCCTCCCCCGCACGGCCCTGGGGACAGGGACAGCCAGAGTCGCCGCCAGGCCGGCACCGACCCCACGTCCCCGCCTGGAAGGTCACCCCGGCGCGGCTCCGCGGGGGCTGCAGCGAGCCCTGGGCGCCACCATGCCCGGCTTCTCTGGGCGCCACGACCACCTCCAGGTCACCCCTGCCCCTCACTCCCCGGGCCCTCCCGGGAGCAGCGCGGCCAGCCGGGGAGGGCGACGCCATTTCGGGGTCACCTCCGCCTGCCGGAATTCCCTGCCCCGAGCCGAAGGAACCCGAGGGGCGCGGTGCCGCCGCGGGCCCGGTACCGACCATGTCTGCGGGAGCGGCGGATCCGCTGGCTGCTCGAGGTCACCTCTGCGGCGCGACTGCGGCCGTGGCAGCGCTGCGCCGAGGCGCCGTGGTGGGGCGGGGCGCGCGGCCGCGCTCGGCCGCCTGGGGGCTGTAGTCGTGGTTGCCGCGGGCCAGCGTCGCTTGGCTGCGGCAAAGAACTATAACTCCCATCGTGCCTCGGGGGCGGCCCGCCGCGCCCCCGCACGCCATTGGCGGTTGCCTCTCCCCACCTCCCCCCATTCATTGAAGAGCCGCGCGGCTCCGGAGGGGTTGGCCCGGTAGGAGACGATGTGCGGTCGCCTTCGCTGCGCGTGCGCGCTGTTGGGAGGGGTGGGGGCTGCGGCAAGAGCGGGCTTCGCGGAGTGCGCGTGCGCGCTCAGCGGCTAGGATGCGGGGGCTGCGCATGCGTGGGGGGCGGTGCGCGCGGTTGCTGCGGTGACGCGCGGGACAGGCCCCGGTGCCGGCGGCGCCGCTCCCGCGCCCGCCCCGCGAACTCGGAGCGCTCGGTGGGTGCGAGTGCGCGGCCGGGCCCTGCCCTTTTAGTAGGGCGGGGCATCCCCCCGGGGCATCCCCCCGGCGCGTCCCGGAGCTGCGAGCCCGGGGCGGGCAGGGCGTTCCCCTCGCGTTTTCCGCGCGATTCCCTCCGCCCGGCCTCCTCTGGGGAGCTGCCGGCGCGTTCCCCGCGCTCCACACTTCGTGAAATCCTGCCATCCTATTGCTTGGTCTTCTCCTTTTTATTTTCAGGGAAAGCTGAGAGCTTACCTGTGCTATTCCGCTGGTAGAACTGCGTGGCTAAACTAGCGATCACTTGTACAGAAATAAAGCTGCTCGATTACTTGTATTTCGAGTTGTTGAGTGAAGTAAATTCCTTTGGTCTGGCTGTAAGGGAGGCTGGTACCGGCATAAATACATCAGCAGAGTAGAGCTTCTAAACTGTTGATAGGGTTTAAAAAAGAAGGTCTTGCATAGCACAGCTGATTTTTCTTTTCCCACAGATCCTGAAAGGATTCCCAGTTAGTTAAGTGTTTTGTGAAGGTCTCACAAAAATCTTTGAAATCTTTCTCTAGTCCTTACAGCAGTATTTTTAAAAAAGCAATCTAAGGAGCGTGTGTCCTGAGGCAGTTTCTTCGGCGCTGCGGCAGAAAAGGGAGGCTGCTGCCTTGGGGCAGGGGCTGTGAGGCGCGGCTCGTGCCGCAGCGTTCCCGGTCTGGCGGCTCGGGACGTGCCGGGGCTTCAGGGAGCCGTGGGGAGCCGGCAGCCCTGCAGCGGGGCCCGCCGCTGCCCGGGTGCAGCCCCTGCGCCGCTCTGCCCCAGCTCTCGGGCTGCATGTAAAATCGCTGATGTAAATCTGTTAATGACCGTGTGGTTTTAATATGAATGAAGCCTGTAGCCAAGTTCCCTTCCGTGGGTGAGTTTGAAAGCCAAATAGCTGCGAGCAGAGCTGAGGGCTGGCTTGCTGGGAAGCTTGGTCAGGAGGAGGGAGCTTGTTTAACACAGAGTTTCCCAGAGTGTCCTAAGATGCTTTACCCTGGTGACTCTTAACCTTTTCTGCACCCAGACGTTATACAGACTTAATTAACACTATTTAAGATTGTTTAAGATTTAAGTATAAACAAAACCTGATATGGACCCACATAAGGTAATTTCCACTGACCATAATTGGTTCAGTTTCATTGATTTCTTATAAATTTTCAGGTAAATCAATGTTGGCAGGCTGTAAACTGATTTGTCTGTGTTAGCTTACAGATTGTATTGATATAATGGATTTCAGTTAAGAGCTTAACTTGAAATTTTCACACTTTTTTCTGCAGATGACTCTCCTTATTCTTACTCCTTTTTTGCCCAAGCTTGTGCTCCTGGAATTTTTTGCTGTTGGAATAACAACAAATCTTGTTACTTTGTGTTGAAAGTGATTTGTTTTGGTGCAAAGCCATGTGTAAATGCTTTTGTTTGTCAGAACCATGTTTATCAGTTTATCTTCGGTATGATTAGTCCAATTCCAGTATGATTAGTCCAAGTTGGATTCAGTTGTTGTCTGTGCTGATTTAACTAAAAATACTGTAAAATTTTGCCTTTTATGAATGTGGTGTAATTTTTAAAGTCAGCAAAACTTAAGAGTTCTAGTATTTCCTTCTTATATTTTGTTTCTACTTGTTAAGCTTTGATGTTTTCTAAGTAAAATTTAAATGTAATTTTAAAAAATATTCTTTAATGCTCCCCAATGTTTCATTAGTACGAGTCTTTCGCGTAGCACTGTAAGCCAAAAAGCTGCATAAATATAAACATTACATGCAAATGAAGTAATGGAAATTTAGTGTGCATCTGATTTGGGCTCTGGGCTAACTTTCAAATACACTTTGCAATTTTTGCACTCAAAAGATACTGAATTATGTGGAAATCGGTAATTAAACAACACACTGAAGTATTAAGATGTTTTAATCTCCATTTTCAGAAGATTAAGTATTATTTTTCAAGGCAACTAGTAGTTTTGAAGGGTAGTCTGCCAGAATTATCTCTTAATATTAAAAAAAAATTTTTAAATGAATTATTCTCTGTTAACAGCTGGCTGTCTTCTTTAACTGTATTTTGGATGGGATTTTCTTTTACTTCATTGCCATCTATAGAAACTGATGACTATTTTTAGGTAAGTTTTTACACTTCATTTTCAATAATTTGTAAATTTTTCTTTTTATCAAACTCTCTATGTCTAGTACAGGTTTCTTATCTTATGCATTTACTTACAATTGTTGTTACCAAGTCATCTCTCTTGTAGCTAAGTCTGTGTGGTATAATTAACATTTAAAATGCACAAGACTATGTAAGAAAAATTAACTATATAGTGACCAGGTTCAAATCTAGAAATGCTAGAATTGAAATAGTTTTGTAAATCTCTTCTGTGTTCTGGTCCAAGGGAATAATAGTAAGAGATTTTTCAGAAAGAAGGTAAAACATTACAAAAAATACTGAAATAGAATTAAGAGGATCAAAAGTTATTGTGTGAAGTGTGTGAGAAATCTATAATAGATTTTTAAAAATATATAGATATGAACAAGAACTATTAAAATAGTAGTTTAGAAAATTAAACAGTTTTTTTTTTTTTTTAATTCCTAGTGCTAATGTCCCAAACATAATTTTTCACCATTCATTTCATAAACTTCAGTCATGTAGTACTGCATGGACATTAAATGTCATGAAGAAGTTAATCTATAAATTCCATTTAGAATCCAGATTTTGTTTTTGCTGTGGTGAAAACTTTCTTTCTAAAAGAAATATTACCTTCTATGGAAGTGATTTAATTTTTTATTGCTTATTTTTAATTTCTTAACAGCTTAGTTGGTTTTTAAATTGAAGTTGGATAGTTATCATCAATTGATTTCTACAGCCTTCAGCATGTTTTTAACAGGTAGCTATGATGCAATAACACATCCTGTACTCATGTGCCTGCTGCCTATGAAGAGACACAAATGGTCTGTAGCTTGCCTGTAGTATGTATTAGTAATCTTTATGAACTATTCATGAGTCAAATATTAATAAAAATTGTGAACAGAAAGTTCTTTATTTGCTTTCCCTAAGTAGGTCGATAGTATGAGCAGGTATTGTGGGTTTGGCAGGGGACACTGAGAGTTCAGGCCTCCTCTGGTGTGGGTGCACATCAGATCTGAGGTGGGTGCTCTGGTGCCCAAAGGAGTTCAGGGCTCCATCACTGACCAAAGGGGCTGGTGGCACAGTGGCTTCCTAATGGCACCCCCAGAGCTGAGGGACCCTGGAAGATCTGTCCTCATCCCCCACCCGAGTGCCACTTCTGGAGGGTTTTCTTCTCACAGTTGTTACAAGGCCTGGGCTGCAGAGAATGCCTGTTTAAAAACAAAGCCAAACAAAATCAACCCACAAACCAAACAACCACATCAGACACGGCACAAAAATTTGGCATATTGGCTGTAAATTCAGCAACGTTGATCTCTGAATTATTGCAAAGTGAACAGAAGGGTTGTGTTCCTGGTGCATGAGAAGTAGTTTACTGTATTCTTCTACCTTAACACAAATCTGTCTTTCTCTTGGTTGAACAGACACTTTGTGACAGCAGTGTGTGGATTTTGTACTCACTAATGTCACTGCCTGGAGGAGAAGAGGCAGGTTGGTGTTCTAGAGAGGAGATGACCTGTGTTACAATTCAAGTTCTACCAAAGCAAACCTTGTACTCTTAAAGTTAATTCATTGCAACATTAAAAAAACCCAACATGAGCACCAGCACCCGTTCCCCCACTAGATGTAAACATTAAGCTATGTCCTTGTGAGTTTTTAAATGAGGTAAGCATTTAGTCAAGTGAATCAATTTAGTCAAGGGAAACAGGTCCTACTGAAAATAAATGTTTGCTTTTTCTCTCGTAAAACTTTCTTTTGCATTTGTTCATTATAACCTGATAATGAGGTTATACATTTTGAACAAGAAGCTAGCAACCATAATGATGACTTTCCCTTTTTTAGGTGCAGTGCAGATGGGTGAATCCATCTACTTCCTTTATCCATCCTTTCCATGTCAGAATGACTGATGAATGCTCTTCCATGCCAAATCTCTTGTGCAGTTACAAGAGTTTTTCTCATTAGGCTTATTTCTATGAATTATGGTCACATCTTTTGCTTAAAATATTTCAGCTTGTTTTACAACATCCGTGTGACTTTATTTCTGTATTTTTGCAGAACCAAATTCTTAATAGCTGCCACTATACAAACTAAATTTTTCTCCTTTTTTTCCCCCAATAATTAAACAGTGTTTCGAAGAAAATATCCATAGAAATACCAGTGGAAAGAGAATGATGTGTTACGGTGTTGATTTTTAAAATTTTTTGTTAATTGTATAAAATATAATTCTTTACTGATAGAAAAGACTGAATTTTTTATCTTAATGGCATTATTCATAAGTGAAACATAATTTTCAAACATGAATTTATCAGTAATAAGTGTAAGAGGCAACTAAGCACTTTGTTTCCTGTATGGAGGATTTTCTGCTGTTTAACAAATTCATTTTGGTATCTGGTCTGCTTTTGGAAACCTTATCCAAACTGATTTTTAGGCAGCAGCAGAGTCTATGGGTGGCTTTAGTAGCATATATGCTTATAATACTGGCCATATTCAGTGTCTACTGATATTTGAGTAAAGAAAGAAGAAATTGCCTTTATTCATTCTGCTCACACATAAACACAAGTACTCTGCACATGCCTGTACTCATTCAGTTGCGTGCTGTAGGGCTAAACAGCCCCATCTCTGGATAAAATTCCAGCTGATTCCAGCTGTGTGGACTGTATTGTCCATACCAGTGCTACACAACTTGGAGTTTCCTGTTGCTCAAAAACAGGCATGCATATATTTTTTTGTTTTTCTTTTAGTTCAGTGTTGGAGAGGGTTATGTTGGAACCCATGACAATGGCCCTCAGGCTCATGCTCAAAGAAAATGTTAGAAACTTTTGGGTTTGTCATGAAGTCATTGAGAGTTGTCCTGTCAGGCTGGGATGGTGTTGAGGAATTAGTTAATTTGAACTCAGGATAGTCATGTGCCCAAGTATGAACAAGAAAGGAGCAATGGCCACAGAAAAATATTGGGTAATTGACCACTTATATCGTGACACAAATGGTGGAAAGATGCTGCATCTTTGGCTGATGGAGGCTTCTCCATGAAGTAATCAAGCAACAGGAATCATAATTGCAGTTTGTGTTTTTCTAGTTTCCTTTTAGAATGATACAGCTATGCCTTTCTGCTCAACTTGCCATCTACCCTTACCTGTAAAGAGTAGCCATGGTAAAGCACTAACACAGATGTGGTGAAAAAATTGGACCTTAATTGGATAAAAGCTTTTTGAATATTTTGAGTCCTATTGGAAAGGTGTTACTCTTGTCTGTACAATGGAATGTGTTTTTGTTTCATGGCCTGTAATCCCATTTATTTACAATAATGGGCCAGATACTGTTTTTCAAGTTGCTTACTGTCTGATATGGGAGAATATAAAGTATTGCTCTAAAATGGCCTTTTCCTGTTATAGTTGCCTGACAGACAGGATCTGGCCTCAGCGTGTATTAGGCAAGGGAGCTAGAAATACACCACAGTTAAATTATGGGTTTGTATCTCCAGGTGGTGCGTGAATTCGTGGTTGAAGACTGAAGAAATTAATTTTGCTAAAGCAAGAAACAACAGGACATTAAGCTACTATGCCAGCTTTAGATGTACGCTTCAAAAATTTTCTGCTGCTCAGCATTATTCAGTAATCTTTAACTCAAATTGCAGGAAATATTTGAAATTCCATTCTAACAATATCCAACAGAGAATATTAAAGAAGCATTACATTTCAAATGCCTGAGGGAAAATGTTCTCTTGCAACACCGTGGGCATTTGGATCTCACTAGTATACGCAGTATTATAGTCTAGTATTATGCTTTACTTGGTCTAAAATGAAAGCCCAATTTTAATTCTATCTCCAAAAACTTGGCATACTGCAGTGAAAAATAATTTATTTGAATGTTGTTTTTTTAATACACTGCAACTAACTTTAAAGCTTCCTCATATAATACTCCCACTATGGCTTTTTGTAATCTGACCCTTTCATTAAGACTTCAAATATATTCCCAAAGACTTATCTCACTGCTTTCATTGCTAATTTACAAGTTAAAAGATTCCAAAGTTACCTAAGAAGTTTTTCTCATTCTATGCAATTTTTCTCTTAATAAGACAAAACTTTTGAGTATCTTTGTAAATATATAAAACACCAAACAGAGGAACTAAGACACTCTTAAGGAAGGTAATATGCAAACTCAAAATAGGGTTTAATAATATATACACACAATTCTGGGCTGGGTAATTCAGTAAACCTGTTAATCAGCTTCCTTAAAAACGTGCTGATTACACCTTTGGGGTTTTATAACCTATATATGCTGTATTTGATAGGAAAGCTATTTTGGAAATTAATCCCCAGCTTACAAGGTTTGGGGGAAAAATAAAAGTGTATCTAAAAGACTTATAAAATCACTAGCTTGAATTTCTTACCATCTAAGGATTTCAGTGTTGCCAGAACAAGGACAAGTGCCATGTTTCTGTTGGAAAAATAAGATCTGTGGTCTTTAGAGAAATAGAATAGGGCTGTTCTCTACCTGCTGCTCACTTTTTTCTGTTTGCACTTGACTGTCACAGAGTCATGCCCAGGAGAATGACAATACCGTGATATTTCTTACCTTCATGGAGTTTCACAGGAGGCAGTTTTTTAGCAGTAGTGGGTCAGTTGCCTGTGTAATTGGACCACTTGTGACTCCCTGACAAACTAGATTGGAGGGGACTGTGATTCAAGGACTTGAAACCTGCAGAGATAATTCAGAACAGCAGCATACTGCAGATGGTTTATTTATTCAACATAGCCATGTGGGACATAAATTAATGAAGTGTCATTAACAATACCATTAATTTAACTGCAGTGCTAGGCTCCGTCCTTGCTAAATGAATGCCACTGATTCCTATAATGAAAGCTAGGAATCCTCTGCAGTGCTGGCGGACATCAGCTTGCCTCCTGAGGGCCACTGGTGAGCTCTGAGTGGCCACATCCCTTTGCATGGGAACCAGTTCAGACCTACTGAACATTGATAAGGTATCTTCTTTTCCATTGT